AAATCAATGCAAATATTTATTCAACTCATTTAAAATTACACATAAAACGTGTAAATTACAAAATAGATTTATAGTGGACCCCGTGACCTAATGCAATTTCACGTGCACCGAATCCAGCGATGCCATATCCAAATGCGGCAGGTGCAACAAGTTCAGAACGAAGAAGTGGCGCTGCGGTCCCGAGAGCAAACGTCTTGGCGATGGCCGGAGTTGCGATGCGGTGGAGGGTTTCCGAGAGAAGAGGAGCGGTCGTGAGACGATCAACTCGGGCGATTGAGGGAGCGAAGTGCTCGACTTTAGAAATCGTTGGGAGCGATGTAATGGTACGCGCTTCCAGGAGGGGAGCGGCGGCAACGTGCTCGAACCTGGCGATGGTTGGGAGTGGTGCGACGACCTTTTCGATTCTTTCCACGGCGGTTGGCAGTGCGAGATGTTCGAACCTGGCGACGGCCGGAGAAGCGATCAGCGGCTGAAGTGCTGGTGCGATTTTTTCGATCCTTTCCACTGGGGTGATGTGCTCGAATTTGGCTACGGCGGGTGCTGCGATCAGAGGTTCAACACGTGCAACGGTCGGAACGGCGATCCTTTCGAATGCTGGGAGGACGTGTTCGACGCGGGCTACTGCTGGCGCAATTGCAATGCTCGGTTGGGGTACCGTAATCCTGACTCCTGGGGTTTCGGTGTATTTAACACGTGGGGTGATAACATCGCTTCTGTACGACGACGAGTATGATCCTGGTGTGTACTCAGTCCTAGTGATGGCGGGTGATACTAGACTTAAAGCTGGGGCTGGTTGGGATACTGAAAGTCTTAACGCAGCCGGTACCGACTCCAAGAAACCAGCGTTGGCGAGCGAAGCAAAAGCGACAAGCAACAGAATCTAAAACAAGGTTTATGTTAAGGTTAAATGATTCTTCTCAGCGCAACTTACCGTAAGAGACATTGTTGATTGAGTAGTAGGTTGTTGGTAATGATTCATGTTGCACCTTCTGGTACGTTTTATACTTGCAAAACAAACAACTTTTCCTCCAGCAAGTAATGCGTAATGATTAGTATTTCAAGTCTTAATTATCATTTTATTTTAATATCTTGATGGCACGTTGAAAGTTAATCACTAGTTGTGCTTAATGACGAAAGGTATTAAGAGTACAGAGGCAACCGCGCCTTGCCTGTCTTACGTATTAAGAACGAGATTTTAAGATGCACCATTTGCTTGATAACGAAAAGCGAGAAGGGGTAATTCCCGCTTTTATTATTCTACTGAAAAATGCGCCCTTGAAACATCTGGGTCCAAGGAAGAAATATAGGATACTACAACCTTGTACTCTAAATAAGGAAATTCATATTTAAGAACGGTCTGAAACTAGCAAGCTAAAAGCTGAACCTTCTTTAAATGATATATATGTTCTGATGTACTGCCTTTAACATTCTATAAGAAGCTGCCAATAATCTTTTGGATTTAGCTGGTGATGATTCTACAGCAACGCATTTAAGTTGTTGAAATCTCGCCGATGACGTAAGTTTGCTGAAAGGTTGTAAAAAGTATTGTATTGTGCACTTTTATACAATTTTTGTAAGGAACACCCTGCATATGACTACATCATTTGGCAGCTTATTAAATTCTCTTCAAAAGTTCTTAGTGCACCATAGCCAAAATACTTAAAACAACCAAGCTTTTTCAATCATTTTCATTTTGATCTAGTTATCCATGAAAATGGTAAAATGACCTTGTTTGTTGTAAAGTATCTTGACAGCCAACTTTGAAGTTTATTACACAGATTTGAATTCAGTACCCAAAAAGACACAATTTTGGTAATTTAATCGTCTTTTTAACAGTACAACTAAAAAAAGTTAGCCATAGTGCTGACTTAATTTGAAACAGACTGCTATATAGGGTTCCGCAACAGTGCGTCGGTCTTTGCTAGCTCATATCTCGTAATTAGAAAAAAACCGTATGTGCAAAATGTCAACTACACATGGTTGCGCAACTATAAAAATTATTTTTGAATGTACAGGGTGTCCTATTTTTACGGTATCAATAAATAACTTAGTGATACAGGGTGTTCACAAGGAAATGTTAAAGTTTCCAAAGCTCAAAGTGCCATTACTATGTTTTTTGAAATGGAACTGCCACTATTTTATTTCGCTATTCAATAGTCTGTTGTGTTCTCTTCAATTTGTATAAGGGATGTCCAGTGTCTAAACCCCAGAGTTTTTAGGTTATTCAATATTTTTCACAAATAAAGGCTGGAAGTGAAAAACCGCGATTTCTCATATTTGGCCCAAAATGGTCTTCAAATTCCGATTTTTCCACCAATCAGAATTGGATCTCGCGGATTGCTTTATGTTAAAAGCACTTAGGGCCAATTGCACCGTCAAAATTATGTATCGCTTAAAGTTAATTATAACTTAAATACCATAGCAACGATTGTCGTAATAATCGTTGCCATAGATTTTAAGTTCGACTTAACTTTAAGCAAGGCTTAATTTTGTTGGTGCAACTGGGGCTTAATGCTCTTATTGTATTTTCACAAGTTTATGGCATTAAGTCCAATCGTTTCTATAGCAGTAGGTATAGGTACCGTGAATTAATTTAGAACAGTGGCAACAACCGGCTATCTTGTTTTTGATTGGTCGTTGGTTCCGGTCGCCATATTGGGGCTAAAATGCTATACTTTGGTATAGGAGTTTACACTTTTCTTTGTGTTCTTGCGAAATTCTGTGAATAAAGGTGCGGCTTTAGGTAACATGTATATTGCCGACAGATACATTTTATAAAAGCTAATACTATTTAGCTGCAGAATGCTAAAGAAATCCTTTATATACGCAGAACAGAAGAAATTATGTTCCGTGATTAGCGGATAGATAAGCAAAGTCATTATTATTTACTTTTCATGCCTTCGTAGTGCCTTTTATATGCTCTACTACACCACTTTTCTATAGTATGGCGAGATCAAACGAGACGAGACGAGACGAGATGTGACGTGACTGAACCAGGCCGAGATGAGGCTTTGACTTGGTCTCGTGTCGAGGTAACGAGACGAGACGAGACGAGACCTTCGAAACATCTTGTTTCTGGCAACCACAGGTCGAAGTATTACACACGGTATTACATTTGCATATAATCAGAACGGGGCATTAGTCTTTGCCCCAATAAAAAACTGGCCAGATAAGCTATGCCTATGAATCTTACTTGGTAATGGCATCTCATGACGTGCAGTAGGGTGTCACTAGTTGGTGGAAAAAATTCAGTCTGCTTCACAGTTTCAAACAAAATGCTTCGAGAATCATTGGCGGACGACGAGACGAATTTTATAACATTTATGACAGTTTCAGTGAACGAACCTTTGCCCAGCACATCGATGTCGCGTCAATTCTTAAACATGCCACTTCCTAAGGGATAATAGTTCTTCACAAAAAATTAAAAGAAAAAAAGCTCTTCTAAATTCTTGAAAAGCCGGGCACTTTTTTTGACTATATTTATCATAAAAGTAGAAAATGTTGGGGAACCAAACGGATCACACCATATTTTTTTATGTTAATTTAATTTTTAGTCATAATTTACAGAATCGCAAATTTGCAGATACACGCGTATATAACTCGTGATATATACATTGTATGCGCCCTTCCTATGTATCTGATTTGCATTTCCAACATTCTGGGAATCGTACAAAAGCTTCATAATTGGCATAAACGAGCCATCGGATTTAAATTAATACTTCTTGTTTATTTTTAGTGGTAAACTGATACGTAACTTTATGGCATGATTAAAACGAATTAATTAAGCTGTAGGCAATTAAACGTTATGACGTGCGAATATGACATAAAAAACCGTGATGTTGATTGGTCAGAATGTAACATTTGTCATTTAGACGTTTATATGCCCCATATTTCGCCTTTTATTACCTGTAATCTGCATGAAATTGTTATGTTTATTATTAGGCGTAAAATGAAGAGATTCTCTTTTAATTTTGCTGATGTAGTTGTGAATTATTACAAAATGGTTTGTTTTTGACATGACGGCATATTTCTGACCAATAACGTCGATCCAATTGCTATTTGATATTGAGGTTGGCTTTTCAGTTGTGTTGTTTTAAGCTAATTATAGGAAATGAATTTTTCGTTTTTCTCTTTTAAATACTTATGTCGGCTTATATATGGAATTCTACACTTTTTGCAAAATTACTTGGTTTGCATGACAAAAAACATGACTAATCTCTCCCTTAATGCCAAAAACTGTTGCGAAGCATTTTCTATTTTGGGAAAAAGTGAAGCTTATGTTTTCGTTTTCGTACGTTAAACGAGATCTAAAGTACCTAAGTGACATTTAGAAAGCTGAAATGTGGTTACTTGCGGAATTGTGCTACATTGTATAGGAAAATTTGCAAGCAGTTGCCCAAGATTTATTACCTCGTAACCAAACAATTCTTTTATATGGCAGGAATACTATAATTTATAAACTTTTCTTAAGTATGTACGTGCTCCTTTGAGAAATGTTCAGAAATAAAGTTTTTTGATTTATATAAACTATTCATCATCAACCAAGAAGTATACACTCGTATCTGCATTTGTTCTCAGGCAATGTACTGTTCTATTTTAATGGATATATGTCACTTCGCTACTTCTTGTAAAGAGCTGGTGCACATTACACTTTGTTGGCCTTATTGGTTCACTTAAGTAGTGTATTGGTAAGATTTTTAAGAATACGCGTTACAAATGGTTCGTTAGCATCTTCGGTCCCTTCTTTTACAAACTTCTAAAGAAGCCGTTACTTCCCTTAAGCTATCCAACATGCATAATTCATACGTAATATCAAACTCGACAAGCGTCTGCAGTAGGGAAGGCCAAGTTTTTGCCGTTTCAGGGGTTCGCAATTTACTAAATCTATTACGTGGAAAAGAAAACGCGCGGCTTCTGAAATTGAACCGTGCGCCAACAGGAATATTGTGTCGTTATTGACCTAGAACAATATAAGCATATAATGTGGTTTTTAATTTCAGATCAAAATTATTCAAATACAAACAAAAAGAAAACGACCTTCTCGAGGTTTCTGCGCGGATTAAAAACGTCTCATCGAAAAGAAAAACATGGAAGCAGCTCCCCACGACACGGAAGAGCCGCATCACGGGGTGTTCCGCAAAGAGTAAGTGGGAAACAATAATTTTCTTGCTGCTTTACTTTTCTTATGATACACGAGTACGTACTATATTTTTGTTTCGCGTAAGAATGGTATATATTATACATATATATTTAGACGGTGGTAGCGAATTTTTGCTACGCTTTTTAGTTCCGTTTCACATATACCTATCGCGATATTCTTAACTGCTATTACTCCCTGTTTTGGAAAACTGTAAAATTCTATAAAACGCCATTTTCAATTTGCAACGTTTCATGTGAACGAATCATGAGCATTTCATGTAGAATACAACACATTTCGGGGTCAAAGCAATACCAGTCGTCAATGGGCCCATGAAAAATTCACCCCCATAAAATTTCCAGCCGATATATTGGCTGAAGAAAGAATCATTCTTCCATTATATTTTCTCCAGGTATATTCGTCCCCAGAAAATTAGTTCCTGGGAGGGAGAGACAGAAAATGTGCTCATCGAAAGCACGCCCTAGGAATCCTTGCCCAAGTTGAACTTGTCCACGTGGATTCGTCCTCCAAGAAATCGCCCCAAGGAAAATTTTGTATAAGAAATAATAAGGTTTCACCTTTAAATTGATAGTTATTTACATAAAAGTCAGGAAAATGATACATTACTGGCGAGGAAATATTGAAGTGCGAGGCCCCTCTGGGGCCGAGTACTTTAATTTCCGAGTAACTGAATTTTGTATTAAATTTTACCCGAAATCATATTTTAATATAAAATACTTTTGATTAATGTCAATCTGTCAGTGATGACAGGAGTCATTGTAGACATTTAGAAATGTCACGAATGCGGCCGGTAAAGTGACGGTGCGGCGGATAAAGTGACAGGTGCGGCCAGTAAAGTGCAAGCGATAGGAAACGTAGTCTGCTCTGCCTCTGTCATGGAAACTATCCACTTATTTGTATCGGTAGCGGCTTCAAACTGTCTTAAGTAGGTGGACCACGGTGGTTTACCATCGAATGTGGATGGCACCCGAATTTTTGTCGTACCTATATTTTCACACGGTTTTGTGACTTCCCTGCGGGACGATAGTAGTTCACCAGGTAGATCTGGTGTTAGCACAGATTTTTTTGCCACCAGCAAACATGCTTCTTGTTAAAATATTACTTAGCAACGGTTCTTTCGATTTTTTCGTAAAAATTAGATGCTCTTATGATATTGCGTAGAATATTTCACTTCGGCAACGCTATTAGAACTGACTGAAACGCAATTCGATTTGCTTATGTATCAAACGCCCCTCTTCCTTGAAAGTTTTCGAACACTCCCGAGTATTCTAGAACGTTCTCGAACAAACCTGTATAAAGATTGCGTCACATCCGCTATGTCTGTCGGAATTTCTGGAATATTCGCTACAGAATATATCATTTCAAAACATTTAAATCATGTCCTTGTTAGTACGTATAAACTAAATAGCACACAAAAGTAAAAATGTAGCCCATTTAACCTAGTAAAAGTTTTTTTGTTTTATTTTATAAGGGCTCGGTACCCGTGCAATTGCCCTTTTTCCGGAACATCATGTATTAGTCCCTTTTTTTTTCTACTTCGACTTGAAAGATAGGATATTGGCTCAATTGCGGCAACGTTGCTGATTTTAAAGTCGAATCTTAAAATAAATTAATTGATAATACATTTGAATTTTGCATGATTACAAGAAAATACATACACAAAATACAGAATCCATTGCAAAAAAAAACGCACCTCGATATATTATAAATTGAAGAAGTAGTTTATAAATGAAGACGAACGAATGTAGCGTAACTGTCATCCGGAAAATCCTATGAAAACTGAAACAGCGATTTCCTTTTAAGATTCCGTTTTAATTTATTGATAACTTTCCTTTTTAATCAACATTGCTTGTCTAATTTAGGAATATCTGGAATTTAGCGGCCACGAAAATGTTAAACACAATATTTTAGCTGTTTGACATAGAGATATGTTCAAAAGGAATGAAAAAGTTTCAAGTTCTCAGATTTCGGTTCATACATTGAAACAGCGGTATATTTTATAATGAGGTTTCGCACTTTTGTGCTCCATTGCAAATGTTTGGGGTTTCCCGCAGACATTAGTTTTGTAAAGAACCGCTGAAATGTATGTATACTACAGTACCTAAGATCATGTAACGAAGCAACAAGCAATTCGGTGTAATTACTCTTGGCAAACATTCCCTCTAGATATTTTTCAGCCCGTGTTTGCTCGTACTTTCACAAATACAAAGGTAAAATGTGTTGAAAATTTACATTTTAATATTTCAAATGTGCACCTTGAACACTAGAAGCACATCTGTCGTTTTACATACCGCTTCAAGTTTTTAACATGTATGAAAATAGAAACTGAAACATTACTCGTAATTCTTGCGCATATAACTTACTTTTTCTGTATTAAAAAAGGGAATTTTAAATTTTAAACCACGAAGTCGATTGGTAATTTTCTTGTAAACCCAATTCGGGTTGTCAATTGGCTGTAAGCATCTAAATACTTTAGTAAACATGCTCGTAGCTTGAAATCGCTCATATCTTAAACATTTTCCAGGTTAGATGTTGTGTATAACAATTTACTGGAAACTTTCGGGTATTTAGAGCACATGTTAGGAATTACTTGTTAGAATATGCAAAGTTTGGAAGGGCTCATTGGATACATTAAAATTCAATGCAATTAATTTTTAGTGGAACAATTTCGAAATTGTGTATTTTGATTGATACCGTGAGTCGGAAGCGAGAGTTATTGATTTTTTAAAAATGAACATGGAAGTACTTACATCCTGCAATAAATAAAATTGCATTACCTCAGACGACATTTTTCGAATACCAAGCTGGCAAAGGGTGACGGGAAATGCAGAGTACGCAACTATGCTATAATAAAATATGTAAATATCCTATTTGCTCCTTCCCGCTCGAGTAACTATAGCCAGACAACGTCTTTCTCTCCCCCATTCAGACAATTTCTTAGAGTGATTGTTATTCCTTTAGTTTCTTCCGCTTGTAACCCCTCCAGACATCATTTCGCTTTATCACTTAAAAAATGTGTACGACAAAAAATTTCCGAGCTAAAATTGTTAAGATTAATTACCCCTAATTTACATAGAACGTTTCCTTTTGGTTAGGTCTTGCAATCTGTTTAATGCGTAGGTAAAATTTTAATTGTATTATGTGACTTTCAGTACGTATTTCACTAATGGGGTGCGTTAGAATACGTTTTAAAAGAAGTCATTCATCAGCATTTTGGAAAGGATGCGTATAAAATTTCCCTCTTTGGTAAAAGGATTCGAAATAATTCAGATAACTAGTAAAGAATGGCTGGTACTTTTTATTAGGACCAAAACCGATTTTTCATGCGCTCTCCCTGAAATGAAGTTTAGGCGGTCGAGTGTAAATCCCTAGCAATCACACGGGGGACCCTCGATGACCGATGTCTTTGTGCCGCCTAAGATCATGCTGTTCCTCGTAATCGTATTACGGTCACGGGAGTAGACATAATAAAATGAGAAACTCGAAGAAAGGAAAGACTGATAGAGAAAGTATATTTCGTGAAGGGTGCGATTTCATTGCAGATAATTTGTCAATAATCATTTTTTTAAGACTTCCTATTCCATTGTGGAATAATAAAATATTTAAGGGACCCTTCATTTTGTATTACTTATCCATTGCATTATCCAAACAGATATTCCATGGTTATATTCTTTTTACGATCGTGTTTCTAGCGTTTATAGTCTGTTTTCTAGCGTATAGACGGCCATTTATTTTTTTATATCTTCAAAACTTCCCTCTTCTCTGTTCCAGACTTTTAGTGAAAAATCCATTAAGTAAATAAGTCTTCAAATAAATTATGATGTTTATTGTTTCTTAATACATGAGGGATGAGTAGATGATCTATTTTATATGCGATATAAGGAATCTGTGTATCTTGTGGATTGTTCTGTATTTTTATTGTAGTGGAACGTTTGAGATAAATTATAAAACTCTCAACTGATCGACTGTACTTTTAGTATAATTCACCCGAAAAGAGAATATGCAGAATAAGTAATAAATGTATTTCGTATGTGTATAGTTGAAAACAAAAGTGTCACAAACAAACTGTGCCAAAATCATTAATTCATGTGGGGTTTATAAAGTATAACTTTTTCGGTTTAAATCCTGTGCAACTCCACAACAGGCAGCATCGAGACTTTTAATAGATATGGATACACAAATACGCAATCTTGATTTATTGCAAATAGTAAAGGATGCTGTATTGTTACAGTGGTTAAATTTAATTAGAGGATGTACTAATTAGGAAATTTATTACAAAGAGTGCTTAATAAATAAATTAAATGATTAACTTTATGGACATACTTGTATATCTGCGTGGACTTGTCGTAGGTAATTGCACAAGTGCATCAAAATTACCGATAATTTTTTTGAAAGCATGTTGTCTAAAAACTGCATGAGTTTATTTTCCTATTTTGGCGAAAGAGCCCGACACCGAAGGTGGAGGGCTCTTTTAACAAAATATGAAAATGACCGAATGCGGTTTTTTACTGACAACATGCTTGAATAAAAAATTATCAGGTTTATTTTGATGCACGAGTGTAATTTAGGGGAATATTTCCCGAACAAGCATTACTTGTCAAACTGACGTTACCTACTTATAAATTGTCGGTTCGGTGTATTGTGAAATTGTCCAAAGGAGTTGCCAGTTGCCATGGATATGGACAGTGCACTTATCGCAGGGCTCTTTCGCTTTCTACAGTGCAATTATCGCTGTAATTGAGCGATAATTGCACGCATCATATGGCATTTATGACATATGAGGGAAATATTCAGTAAAATACACTTTATTGGATGAGAAATGTATCAAAATCACGAATCTTTTTAATTTTTTCTCTGGCTAATCTGTCCTATTTGGTATTAATTAGTACTGCCTCTTTTAATATATCACATCACGTTATTAAGTCCATCTTGTTTTCTCAAGAAGAAATGTTGTTGGAGATCCCCTCGAAATGTACGAGTTTTTT